ACTTAAAAAAACATCCCAGAATTGCACAAAAATGGCATTGCGCACACTCTTCACTATATCCATGTACACTGCTTTTTTCTCATAAATTAGAAAAATTTCACGAAAATACATGACAATTTTCTCAATCTTTAAACCCGGTAAAAAGAACATATATGAAATTACCTGATCGCGAAAAAGTATTTACCCTTTCCAAATATGAACATTTCCACATATAAAATAATAAAATATCCAAAAACTTTTACCTCTAAATCATCTATTACATTATACACGTCACCAACGAATTCATACCGCAAGCATTACAAATACTTAGTATCAAATATTTAAATTATTTCCATGCACGTTTACTTCAACTTAAACGTATACCAAATTCCTACAAACATAAAATTCACAAAATAACTATCATTTAATTAAAATATCACTAAACCATGTACACGCCGACTTATTTTTACTTAAAAAAACATCCCAGAATTGCACAAAAATGGCATTGCGCACACTCTTCACTATATCCATGTACACTGCTTTTTTCTCATAAATTAGAAAAATTTCACGAAAATACATGACAATTTTCTCAATCTTTAAACCCGGTAAAAAGAACATATATGAAATTACCTGATCGCGAAAAAGTATTTACCCTTTCCAAATATGAACATTTCCACATATAAAATAAATAAAATATCCAAAAACTTTTACCTCTAAATCATCTATTACATTATACACGTCACCAACGAATTCATACCGCAACCATTACAAATACTTAGTATCAAATATTTAAATTATTTCCATGCACGTTTACTTCAACTAAAACGTATACCAAATTCCTACAAACATAAAATTCACAAAATAACTATCATTTAATTAAAATATAATTAAATTCAAAAACACTACTTAAAATATAAATGAGCACATACATTAAATTAATACATACATAAATACCCATTTCGAATTCACTTTAGTTACGGCCATGGGATCCAAAAATTCACGAACACTGTTTCACACAACACAGAATAAAGCCAAATACAAAATTTCCAGATTTTTTCCCGATTTCCCCCTTTTCCGATTAAAGAACCGTAATTCGTCCATTAATATCACATGACATATCCCATGATCTCTCATTTCCCTCACACAAAATAATGCGTAATCGGAACTGAGTACTGCTCACATTATTACCAAAGTCCCAGGTAGTAACCTTTATCGCCTCCAAAATGTCGCCAAACTACCAGTTACCATATTGTAAGATCAACAAAATGTGTTTTCACGAAGACCAACCCTATTTTTTTTTTTTTTGTTTTTTTTTAATGAACACTTTCCAACAATCTACTAGCCGAATTACACTTATGCTAGAAATTTTATCTAACAAAACTGCTTAATCATGACAAATATTAACTGCAAAATTGGGAAAAAGTGCACAATCGCAAACTCCTTGCGCATTTTTCAGAATAGCACATACACATAAACCATTTACACGTCCGACTTATTTTTACTTAAAAAAACATCCCAGAATTGCACAAAAATGGCATTGCGCACACTCTTAACTTTATCCATCTACACTGCTTTTTTCTCATAAATTAAAAAATTTGCACGAAAATGCAAAAAATTTTCTGAATCTTTAAACCGGTAAAAAGCACATATATGAAATTACCTGATCGCGAAAAAGTATATACCCTTTCCAAGGATGAACATTTCCACGTATAAAATAAATAAAATATCCAAAAACTTTTACCTCTAAATTATCTATTATATTATAAACGTCACCAACGAATTCATACCGCAAACATTACAAATGGTTACAAATACTTAGTGTCAAATATTTAAATTACTTCCATGCACATTTACTTCAACTGAAACGTATACCAAATTCCTACAAACATAAAATTCACAAAATAACTATCATTTAATTAAAATATCACTAAACCATGTACACGTCGACTTATTTTTACTTAAAAAAACATCCCAAAATTGCACAAAATGGCATTGCGCACACTCTTCACTATATCCATGTACACTCCTTTTTTCTCATAAATTAGAAAAATTTCACGAAAATGCATGAAAATACTCACGTTCTATCTGAAACGTATTCCAAAATACTACAACATATAACTCACAAAATCACAATCATTAAATTAAAATATAATTAATAAAAAGCTAAGAACAATAACACGCCGATAAATACTAATCATAAGTCAAAACAAAATTTATCTTATCTTTATTAATCTTATTTTAGGAGATTATAAAAAATTCTGTTGTCATTTCCTTTTTCCATCAGTTAGCTATAAAGTTGCACATATTTTGCAGAAATTTAACTTTCGGGTTGTTTACTCTCCCATCAATAAAATTCCAACTTCTATACTCAAGGACCCATTCCGGATATGAATTCCTGGGGTATTTTAGGATTCCTTGCCAGTGCGGTTTAATTTACATTGGCCAACTAAGAGAGCCTTAAAATTTCGCGTCAAAGAACATGAGGCATATGTTAGAAAAAAGGAAACACAGAAGTCTTCTGTTGCTCAACATTGTTGGTCCGAAAATCACACTTTCAATTTTTCTGCTGCCAAAATTATTCAAAAACATCTTCCATTGGAGAACTGGATTTCTAGAGGCATTTCACATTCATAAAAATCTTCTGTTCTAGTTAACGATCCTAATTCTAATCCAAATTTGCTTCGGCTTTTAGAGAAATTATGTTTTAGTTCTGGTTTCGCCAACAGATGGCGCCACTTGCTTATTCTTGTCCAGGCTTTCTTATCTTATCTAAACATTATTTCCTATCTTGTTCATTTGCGGTTTTGCAGCTGAAGATGATGGTTCGGTAAAACCATTGAAACTAGTCCTGTGAAAATTTTGTAAATTAACGCTGATTTTTGTTGTTTGACTTCTGAATTAAAAAAGCTACTTAAAATATAAATAAGCACATACATTAAATTAATTAAAATTAGATTACAATCCTAATTACTTTAAACTAAATCATTGCTAATAACAATTTTCCAATAATACCATATTAATTTATTTACTCCTTACATTTAGAACAATGCATAAAAATAATATCTTCAAATGATTAAAAGTACTAACTTACCTAATCTTCAGAATCTCATTACGTGGCACGCACACTTCCACTATTTCACACACACACAGTGAAGCTTAATACAAATAATATACTACTACAGTTTTCCAAATTCTTCCCCTTTTCCGATTAAAGAACTGTAATTCGTCCATTAATGTCACATGACATATCTCATGATCTCTCATTTCCCTCACACAAAATAATGCGTAATCGGATTAAGTACTTCTCACATTATTACCAAAGTCCTAGGTAGTAACCTTTATCGCCTCCAAAATGTCGCCAAACTACCAGTACCATATTCCAAAGATCAGCCTTAGAAGAACTTTGAAACTGAAAATGCTGCATTTGCTTTACAATATATACAAGTTAGAAATTCGAAATTATATTTTTTGTTTCTCCTGGCCAGGGATAAGCTACAGAGTGAATTTATATTCATTATTCGTTAAAATACTCACAAATATTTCTGCAAATTTATTTTATTTGATCATAATTTCTACAAAAACTAGGCAAATTAATAGTGAATTTGGAGCATGAATCTAAAGCAGCTTATTCGGGTGAAAAACAGCCTATTGGCAACAATGAGGAGAGCTTGTCTCTGCACCTGTGTATTGCTTTATTGCATCTTACTCAACAAATTAGGAAAAAATAAATAAAGAAAATCTGTGAATATCTATGACTACCTGTTATTAGAAGAAATAGCCTCCAGAAAAGACAAGTGTATAAAAGTAAAATGGATTCAAAGTAGATTTTTAGGTGATGTTTGTACATGTCTTGCATGGCTCAAAAGCAATTAGTCGTAGAATGTTGAAATTTTGTATATGAGACTGCTGTAACATCTAATTGTGTGTGTCACTTTTTTTTATTGCAACTGTAATGCCAAAAGTATGTGTATACAGTATTACAAAAAAAAAAAAAAAAAAAAAGTGTTTTTTTTTTAAAACAAAAATATCCTATATGTATAATATACATACACACCTTATCCAGCATAAAAGTCCATATCCAGCCTTTGCTATTGTTGGAGGTAGACAAATATTTTGGATTATACAAGTATTTTAGATGATAAAAATATTCATGTATTCATGTTTTGGAAATTTTAAATTTGAAAAAAAAAATTAATTTGGGACAAAAAGGAACTTTTAATGCCATCTCATGGTTTCCATACTTGTATTTGGTAAATTTTTATACTTGTAATGAAAATATAAAAAATACAGAAAGGTTTATTTTCATACAACAGAAATTGACCGGTATATTTAATTTTAAAATTTAAAATTTTTTATGTCAACTTCCCTCGGGGTATCGGTTAGTCAAGTGAGAATAATTCGAGGACATAAATTTAAATGAAGTGCAGCAAAAAGTGTGTATAATTTAATAGGTTTACAAGGAAGTCCTATTATGTCCACATCAGACTTTTTTTAAATTGTATTTCAATTTTAAGGCATTCACCGTCTGCAATTTGTATTTCATTTATCCTTTTTAGTTCAAAGCTTGTTCATAAATACTTATTTCTCTTATGAATTTTGTCTTGTATGCTATAGTTTAATACTTTAATCTCAATTTTTATTAATAGTGAGTATTTTCAAAAATATGTTTTGGTGAGTAATAGTTTGTTTGCATAAATTACATATATAAATAATAATATTGATATTTATTTAAGATATTGTGAGAAAATGTAATTTTTATTTTAGTGTAATAATTTTTTGGTTTAATTTTCAGAGAGGGGCTATTCAGCTAATCTGATAAAATTGTTTGGGCTAAGAGAACTCAAACCAGAGTATATAGACTTTTTGATAAACAGACATCTCAAGGAGATGGATTTCAGAAGATTCAAACATCATTCTTGGGAGCAACTCACAGAGAAAGTTAAAAAAATTGCTAAGGTGTAATATTTCTATATTTCTTTTTCTTGCTGTAAGCTATTTCTATAAAAAGATCACTTCAAAAATTTACACATACATAAATATATGGTACTTATGTATTAGCACAATCACCTTAGTAGAAATTGTTAAATTTTCATAATGAGCAAAACTGTGGCAAACAAACCCATAACAGTTCTTCAATTTTAATAAGTAATGGTGTGGTTTTCATATATTTCTTGTTGTATTCCAAGTTCCAGCAGTTTTTGTTGACAAATGATGATATTTCTTATTCTTAAACTCAGTTTCAAAATGTGCATTTGTGAGATTTGCTCACAACAAAATAAGTTGTGGCAAAATTTTTGCAGGACATAGTATTTTATCACTAACTCACTCAGTTACTTTGAATCTCTTCCTAAAGCAATCACTGCCAAATTTGCGCTAGAACAAAAGAAACAAAATCTTTCCTGTAAGTTTAGTGATATATTTTCCAGAATATTAATATTGAATAATTATATAAGTGGTAACATGTATATATGTAATAAATAATTTTGTAATGAAGTCCTCATCCATTGTTTCCTGTTAAAAAAATCTGCCAGACACAAGTGGTTGTGCTAATATGTTATTATATATATATATATACATGTGTAGACAAAAAGGTTAAATTTCTTACTTTTTTGTCTATAATTGGTTCATTTTTCAGCAGCATTTTGCTCAGAAATAACATTGAGATATTTTTGTTTAAAAAAAAAAAAATTGTGATACTGTAATATGTGTAGATACAGTATTACAAAATTACATACATACACATATACATCACAACTTAAAATTTAAGAAACAGATTGAATTAAAAGTACCCTTTAACCTATAACAAAGTAAGATTCACATTGCTAAGATATTTAAAAATATTTTTAAAAAGTTAAATTATTAGTTAAAAAAATTAAATAAATGTTTTAAAAGTTAAAATTCAAGTATTATGAATATTATAATTATTCATATTTTAACACTTCAGTTCGACTTCTCAGGAGGTGATATTTAAAACATTAAATCCTGAACAATTAAGGAGTACTGATTTCATGTTTCATATACATATATATGTAATAAGATGGAGTAGGCTGCAACAGAGTGATGATGGTTCTCTGCTTTATATTCTGGGGAGACTTTATTGCATAGTTAGAAAGATGACACTTAGAGGAAAGACTTGTAGACAGATGTGGCCGAACTGAATATAACTTTTATTCGTCGATAGGAACTAATTATCAAAAACTTATTTTTATTACATATGATCATGGGCACAATACACACCCTACAATTTGATATGGAGTATCACATTTTAGATAATAACAGTTAGTAGCATGACAAAGCAAATGCAGTGAAGTAGTATCACCAAGAGAAGGTTTGATTTAAGTTAGAAAGGTTTCAGTTTAACTGGATAACTAAAATATGTAAATCAAAATTATAATTAACCACTAGTTTAATTATAATTTTGATTTACATATTTTTTTCACCTTACATGTATGAGTTGTTCCAGGAATGTATAATGAAAGAGAAAAAAGGTACTTATATATTACTTATGGGGTGCAAGCTGATGATTTTTTTTTAAACAATCCCAAACTTTGAATATTTATCATAAGTAGGCAAACATTCTGAATATATCCAAAGAAAAAACATTTTAAGATACAAACTTAATTATTGAATAAGGATTATATGATATATTAAAAAAATAAAACACTAAGCATTTTTTCAAAGACCTTTAATTTTTTAGGGCTATTCTTCATTCCATATACACAACAATCTGTTTTAGCTTTAAAAAAAAAAAAAAAAAAAAAAACAGATAATTGCACAAATTTGGTATTGCTCACTGGCTATCTACCAGACTCATTATTGTTCTCTTTGGTTGATTTTACACTGCAAAAAAATGTATTCCTGCTGAACTTTGACTGCAGTTTCTTCCACTGCTCGCAAATTCTACGGGTCGTATTTTAAAATGAAGCTGAAGGCTTAAAATGTCATGATTTAGCTATAAAAGCCATTGAAACTTAAAATACAAAAAAAAAAATAATAATAATTGTTTGAAGAATGTTCATGTGAACTGTTGCCGGTGTCTGGCACATTCTGTAAATTTAATAAATACTAAGGTGGTAAAAAATACTAAGGTGGTTTTGAATAATACGGAAGCACCAAGAAAAATAAATTTAAATAGTTTTTACAAGATTACAGGAAAGTTGTTCTTTTTTTCAATTTTTTAACATTTTCTGCCTTTATTATATTAGTCTTTGTCAGTCACAATCAAGCTGGAAAGTAGTTGCATGTAAATCAAATGTAAGATATTTTAAAAACCCCATATGCATGTTTCATCAACATTTAGAATAGAATTATGTTTATCATTTCATAAAAAATAATTATTTGTCAAATAAAATTAATTGTACTACATTTAATGATTTAATACTTGAAAGTGTTACTACTTATGTGTATAAAGCTATAAGTATCACATATACTTGTGCTTGAGAGTAAGAGAATAATTATGTTTTTTCTAGTTTTTCAAAAAATACCTAACCAAAACTGGAAAGTATGGAGTTAAATAATAATGCAGTAACTCTGATTGATGTTTGTTACAGTTTCAATAAATTTCATACACAGTGCAGTTTAATTAATAATGGCCAATGTTAGATAATGGACTTAAGTGTAGAATCATTGACAGATTGGAGGCAAGACATTTCAGAGTGCAAAACAGCTGTATGTAATGCAGTTTATGAAAATAGTTTCAGGAGACTGGATGTATGTCCAGAACACTGGAAAAGAGTACCGAAAAGCCACATTGCCCAATTAAGATCATTATTTTACATTTTAGTCAAGTGCCAGAAGATTACTACAGCCACACAGCTCTTTCATGAGTTATCTGCTACTCCTAAAACTTTAGTTTTAGGAATTATTGTGTCTTAAAGGTTTCATTAAATAGTTTTTTTTATTAGAAGACCCACTGTGTGCATACTTTGACTAGAAGACTGCTATCTAACTTCAGGGGACCCAAGGACTTGTAGGAATTAGTCTAGATTTAGCCTAAACACTGATTATCAATATGACTTCATCTAGAGACTATTTAGGATCTGATAATATTCTTCCACCATTCGGGAAACGGGCCGCTGCATTGGTGTAGGCATCATGGTCTGAGAAGACATCATGTTGGATGGTCACATATTACTTTAAATGTGAAGCTTCCTGATTGCCCAGAGCTATAGAAAGAAATGAGATATACTTGCTTTGTTATGTACTTTTTAGGCATGACAGTCAGAGCCAGATTCAGACTTGATAAGGCCCTAAGCTATTTGAGATATAATGCCCTTTATAAGTCTGTTATAATATATTTTAGTACTATTTATACCATATTTTTTTTCGGAGGGGGGAGCCGAAGCTTGTGTAGCTTATATGTAAATCCAGCCCTGATGAAGTACTCACTTACATAAGACTGAATTGGTGGATGAATGGTAGTAAGTAAGAATGTCTCACAGGTAAACTGGTCAGCCTGATCTACAGATGTCTCAGTTGATCATGTCTGGGAATGCACATAAAAAAATAACTGCGATTCATGAACTACTTTTAAGAATCGTCCTTTAACTGCTGTAATCCAGAAGTTGGCTGCCTGTCACAGTAACAGTCCTGTCAGTTATGCTGTCACACCTGTGCCTCTGTTAGAGGTCACCATACCCCTTATAAGCATCATTTTAAGCATCTGATTATGTGATGCAGTCACAGTGGCAGTTTCCTTGCCATTGCCCTATCCTGTGTATAGCATTAGCATGTAGAAAACAGTGAGCATATCTTTGATAAGCATAGATAGCGATATCAATTATAGCATATGTAGGAATACTGAAGAATTGCAGATGAAGTAGAAAACTGAAGAAGAGTCCAAATTGTAAAATTTCACAGTAGAGTAGATGAAGAGAAAGCCTTTATTTTCAAATCATACCTCCCGAGAGTCCGTTGCAATATCGATGGCTGTGGTGGAACTGTACTTCAGATTAAGAGGGAGTCATCTCTCAGCTGATATAAAGAGCAAGAGGATAGGAGAGAAGACAGTGCAGTTATATATTTGTAGCAATAAATGTGGATAGAGATTGAGAGCCATACAATTTAAGGATTGAGAAAACCAAAACATGGGGAAAGGGCTAACAATAAACATTCATTAATCATTAAATTAAGTAAAAAATAAGAGAATTATGAAGCTTAGGCAACAACAAAAAAAAAAAAAAATCAAGAAATTAGTTCAGTACTCTTAAGTAGTGCACCAGATTTTCTGGTATTATTTACCTCATTGTAATCATAGCCTAAATTAGACTGCTGCTATTATTCATCTTTGAGATCTTACTGAAGAACTCCTTTTCAATTTTAGCCATATAATTTCTCAGTATGTATGATTCTATATTCTTTGTGGATTGCAGCATTACAAATAAACCAATGGCATTTTGTGATCTGTTTCAGGGTGATATTTGTATTTTATTCATATACAGTCAAAAGTCGTTAATCCAGACTCGTCGGGACTTTGGCAATTCCGGATTATAGATCCTCAGTTTAAATCTGGTAAGATGGCATGCAGAAATTACAAAATTAAAAATATGAAATCGTAATTACAAAATAAAAATATGAACGTAATTTAGAATAAAGAACAATTATGATCTAAAGGGTATCAAAATTTACAAAAAAAAAAACTTAATATTTGTTTGTTTACTTTATTAAACATTTCTTTCAATGTAAGTTGTTTAAGTTGCTTCATTTCATGTGACAATACTTTCTCTTTAATTCTATTAAATAATTTCTTGTTTAGTTACAAAGTTCCACTGTTCAAGTCCTATAATTGCTGTGCCGAGAATACCGACTAATTTGTCAATCGAAATGTTTTCATTTTCAATAAACTTTCTGTCACTTTCTTCACTATCCGAAGCGAATTATAATGACGAGGAACTTTTTAAATCATATCAAAGACGAAGTACATCGAGATGAAATACTACATTTAGTAAGGAATTATAAGCCAAATAAAATAAAAACATCTGCCCTGAAGATAAGGATAGTGCTGACAGATGAACTTCCAATTCATTGCGCGCCGTGGCATTTCTTCCCCTGCCGCAGAGCAGCGTGAAATTGATAAACAGATTTCGGATTTCAAAACATACTTTCGCTTTGTAGATCCTTTACATATTAGTAAATATATATCGGAAATTCTATTTGACATAATCGAAAGTTCAATCTTACTTTTATAAAATTGCTCTAACAGTCTGCAAAAAATACTAAGCCGGATCCAATTGGAAGATTAAGGAACAATGCAATCTGCAACATTAACTGAATTAGATAATTTTAGCTTAGCTTATACCGTCCGTTATACATAAAACGCGCATGCGTAAACGTATTATGCGCTTGTGCACATGCATATTCGCAGCCATAAATGTCTTACGCGCACGCATAAACGTCTGGGACGCATGCGCAGAAAGTTCGTGGCTTTGAGGTCCGGATTATGGGTGTCCGATTTAACGACTTTTGACTGTATTCATTATTGGCAAAAGCCCATACAGGACATGCATAAGTGATAATGGGATGCAGCATGACCTAATAATGCCAGTTGCTCATAAAAGTAACTTATTTTCTGTGATAAAATGGAGTTCTGAGAAATTAAGGAGAAGAGTTTGTTTTTAGCGTTTTGGAATTTAATAATTACTAGTGTATTTTTTGATAGAACAAATTTTATTCTCCCTAGAATGAAACAGTTTGATATTTTCTCCTCCATTTCTTACTATTTACATATAATATATATGTATATTGTTAGTATTATCATTCAGTTTGATTTCATAAGTATTTCTTTGCTAGTGTAGCTTAATTAAATTATCATAACTAATTAATATCACCTGAACTTCGGTTAACAGACACTCTACTTTAGCAGACCCTCGCAGAAATGGGGCAGTTCTTATGCATGATAAACTAGATACTTGAAATTAGAGCCCATTTAGTTGCTAATAATGGACAAAAGTTTTATTCTGTAAGAGTTTCCTTTACCTTATTAGGATTGTTTAAAGTGTAAAAACACTATCTTTTACATATTTTCCTGCCAAGCATTTTAAAAAACAAAACATTTTCCATACAGTGTGATTTATTGCCAATAATATAAAAGCATGACATCACAAGGATCTCATAAGACTTTGTTTTGGCTTTATGTAATGACGATCAAAGCAAGTCTGTTTAGTTTTTATAAAGGATCTAAGCTAACTGCTATTTCTCTTATTGTATTTGAAGGGGGATAAAAATTAAAATTTGGACTTGCCTTAAATAAATTAAAATTAAAATTTTGGACTTATAAACAGCATGTAGTGAATATTTTCAAAATTAGGAATGGTTATATTTTAGTTATGGGGCTAATATGCATATTTAAAACAGTAAAAGATTCTAGGGTTTGGCAATTTTGGCACAATTGTATGACACTACTTAGAATTTTTGTTCAAGTAATTTATGTTGCACTTAGTTCAAAAAGAAATGACCACTATTTTAAATGCCGTAGGGAATTCTGCCCATAAGAATGATTAGCATAAATTTTAATAAAGTTGTTTGTCTTATAATTTCAAAGCTAAGTTTATTAACTCTTTTCTATTGTTAAGTATCAGTCAAAAGTTAAGTCATTAAAAGCCATCTCTTACTAACTAACTAAAAAGAGAATGACCTTTTCCTTCAGATTTCCATAATTGTTTGCTTTAAGTTTGTTCCTTGTTCTAGTAGTTGATGTTTTGTAAAATGATACTTGCAAGTCTGACAGGATATCCACCAATTTTGTGGTTGGCAGGAAAAAAGAATAGAAAGTAAGGACGGAAAGATTCTTCTAAGCAGGTTTTCTTTAGTGATTAGTGTTTCTTCAATATTCTTCTTATGCTTGCTTTAATGCAATTACAGTTATTAAAAATTAAATGTTAGAAGGAATATTATATATTATTCTGATGTCGCATTATTAAATGGTCACTAATTTGTGTGATTGTTAATGAAGGCAGTTCCCCCACCAGTATGTAAGGATTCAAATCCCTAGTAAGACACTGACATTTAGAACTCTGGGTTCTATCTGGGTTCTTCAAAGGTTTCCGAAATGCATCTCATTAAAAAATATATCCATTTTAAAAGTTTTGTTGAGACTGGTAATGGGGAAAGAAGAGTACAAGATTTTTACTGATCATCTGTGGAGTACCTCAGTCAAATTGGATTAACATTTTGCAGAAGCATATTGCCAGTGGTGGTGCTTAAGTCCTTGCCCAATAAATGAATGCCTCTATTTACCCACTCATAATTCTTCATGGACTGCGGGTTACAGGTAACAGTATTAAAGACTTTAATTTCCTAAAGTGAATATTTATCACCAAAGCAACTTAAAAAATGAAAAATATGATTTGTAAAATCACTTTAACTCTGAAACTAAACGAATACATTTCTTTTACCATTAAAATACCTTTTACTATTCACATGAGAAATAATCTTGATGTTAAAATATATGCATTTTCCCCCTCCCTTCCCAGATTTAATTAAGCTTTAATGATCCTAAGTAATTTGTAGCATTTCTTTTCTTTATATCTATCTCTGCGTAGAAATTATATTTCAAAATAAGCAAATGTATAAAATTTAAGTCATTTTTAGGAAATAATTCTAAATAATCACATAAAATGCCATTTATTCAACAATTACTCTTGTTACTTATATAAAATTAAGTTAAGATTTGTTGTGAATATAAGGCTTTGAAAATATGTCTTTAAGTTTTACTTCTCAGATATTTATTTTAGATTATATTGGATTACAGCACTTTAATTCAAATGTGGAATTTCATAAAAAGTGAGAAGAGTTCTGGAAAAATAAAAACCAGTGTTTTACTTAGTTCTTGTCTTAGTACTGTGAAATAAAAATTTTATTTAGAAAATTATTAATTATCCTTTATTAATTAAAAAAATTTTAGTAGAGCTTAGTATAAGTTTAGTAATGAATATTTGCTTTAAGTCAGAACCATTAATTGAAATAGCTTCTGCTTCTTATCTTCTATCTAACTTGTTCAAAATAGTCTTCAGTAAAGATTTTGTGAGCATGAGAAAATAGCATTATGTCAGTAAATTTATTCTTCGTTATCTCGGCTAATTTTGTATTTCAAGATTACAGAACGTTTTGCTTTAAAAAATATGAGCATTTTTTTTTTTTTTTTTTTTTTTTTTTTACCTTATGAAATGGGAGCATACAATGGTCAATGAGAAATTTTGCACTAGTTATTTATAGTAGCCTTCCTTATTGTGTGAAAAAATCTTTTTTGTTCTTAAATACCACTTTGCAGATCTGTCTAATCTTTCTGAAATTTCTGTCTTTTGTAGGTCTTGAGAAGGTATATTTGGAAAGGAAAATGGTCTGTGAAAGTCCCCAAAAAACTAAAGAATTATACAAACTGTTACAAAATGTGAAATATCTAAATATACCATTTGGATGTGAAGATGAAACTATACAAATTATTTCCAAATGTTGTTTAAATCTTAAAGAATTGCATGTTGGGTATGTGGGCATTGCTAGCGATGAGAGAGAGAGATGGCTCTTTGAAGCTAGATTTAGGTCTCCAGGTCCTCGTTTGCGTTGGTTGATGCGTATCAGTCGTTCAGAGATTAAAACAGACACTGTTGCATGCATTCTTAAAAACATATCGTCTCTGGAAATTTTTAATTACTTCTATTTGTCACGGGTGTTCCTAGCTATGCATTATTATGATATTGTTGATAATAAATTGGCCACGGTTAAAAAGTATTCTTTAACAGAACTTGATTTCAGGAGTTCAACTCCATATGAAATTGATTTACTTCTAGCTATATGCACTGTTCTCTGCCCAAACGTGAGAAGGTTGTCTGTTGGAGTAGCTTGGCAAGAACATCTACATTTATGTCTTCAGTTTTCTAAATTACAGTGTTTAACTATGCATACATTCTCTAATCGGGATCGAATAATTCTAGATGACTTTTTAAAACTAAAAGGAAATGATTTAATTTCATTGGATATCAGAGGACACTTTTCAGTTTCTATTCCAGTTTTAATAAAGAATTGTCAAAAATTAAAAAAACTGCGTATGAAAATTGTTGACGATCGATGCGTGTTTACAGAGTGCATGCCAACTTTAAAGGATATGAAAGGTGTTACTGTACAAAGTACAAAAAAAGTGTGCCTCCCAACTTTAAAGCATTTGAACGAGTTGATTATTTACACTTCTGAGACTGCTACACCATTAACTACAGAAGCTGTTTGTTTGATTTTGAATTCCAGCCCAAACATAGAATATATGTGCATATTATATGGTGAAATCTCTGATTCTAAGCTAAAGAAAACACTTTTGGATTATTGCGAATTAAATACTTTAAAATATTTGTATTTAGGTTTTTCAGGTATAGATGTAAGCTTCTTACAGGTAATTCTTAAATCGTGCACATCTCTTCAGAAATTAAATGTTCGTTTTTGTAAAAATATATATGAAGAAGAATTTTTGATTTTACGCCAAACTGCATCTACTGCCAAAAATAAACCTCAAATCATTTGGTATGATTTTGAAAGATGTATGAATGAATGCGATATATATTCAACTGAAGATAATTTTGGTGAAGACCTTTGAGGTTTATTTCTGTTATATTTTATAAATTCAGAGTACATATTTTATTTTCCTTATAAAAATATTTTATACTTGTAAGTTTTTAATGTAATAATTTTCTTTATATATATGTATATATATATATTATTTAAATTAAATTATTTTATCTTTTTATTATACTTGTTTATAAAATAGAATTACCCCTTATGATTAATGCAGAAGAAATGTGCAAAATGATTAAATTATTTGTATAGTAAGAGCTAGGTTTTGTAACCATTATTGTCAGAATTATGTTTTTGAATTCTTTATCTTTCTTATTTTTTTACTAAAAGCAGGTATTAAATAATTTTTTTTAAATTTCTATTTATTCATATCCCAGCAGCCTATGAATCAAGAATGTAATGATGATATCTAATATTTATTGTGTTGTCCAGCCCTGATGACAGTACTCACTTACATAAGACTGAATTGGTGGATGAATGGTAGTAAGTAAAAATGTCTCACGGGTAAATTGGTCAGCCTGATCTACAGATGTCTCAGTTGATCATGTCTGGGAATGCACATAAAAAAATAACTGCAATTCATGAACTACTTTCAAGAATCGTCCTTTAAGTGCTGTAATCCAGGAGTTGGCTGCCTATCACAGTAACAGTCCTGTCAGTTACGCTGTCACACCTGTGCCTCTGTTAGAGGTCACCATACCCCTTATAAGCATCTGATTATGTGATGCAGTCACAGTGGCAGTTTCCTTGCCATTGCCCTATCCTGTGTATAGCATTAGCATGTAGAAAACAGTGAGCATATCTTTGATAAGCATAGATAGCGATATCAATTATAGCATATGTAGGAATACTGAAGAATTGCAGATGAAGTAGAAACTTGAGTAGAAGAGAGTCCAAAATAGTAAAATTTCATCAGTAGAGTAGATGAAGAGAAAGCCTTTATTTCCAAATCATACCTCCCGAGAGTCCGTTGCAATATCAATGGCTGTGGTGGTGAAACTGTACTTCAGATTAAGAGACGAGTATCTGTTCAGCTGATATATAGGAGCTAGAGGATTGGATAGGAGAGAAGACAGTGCAATTTATATATCTGTAGGCAATAAAATTTGGATGGAGATTGAGAGCCATACAATTTAGAGATTGAGAAAACCAAAACATGGGGAAAGGGCTAACAATAAACATTCATTAATCATTAAATTAAGTAAAAAATAAGAGAATTATGAAGCTTAGGCAACAACAAAAACAAACAAACAAAAAAAAAAATATCAAGAAATTAGTTCAGTACTCTAAGTAGTGCACCATATTTTCTGGTATTATTTACCTCATTGTAATCATAGCCTAAATTAGACTGCTGCTATTATTCATCTTTGAGATGTTACTGAAGAACCCCTTTTCAATTTTGGCCATATAATTTCTTAGTATGTACGATTCTATATTCTTTGTGGATACAGCATTACGAATAAACCAATGGCATTTTGTGATCTGTTTCAGGGTGATATTTGTATTTTATTCATATATTCATTATTGGCAAAAGCCCATACAGGACATGCATAAGTGATAATGGGATGCAGCATGAACTAATAATGCCAGTTGCTCATAAAAGTAACTTATTTTCTGTGATAAAATGGAGTTCTGAGAAATTAAGGAGAAGAGTTTGTTTTTAGCATTTTGGAATTTAATAATTACTAGTGTATTTTTTGATAGAACAAATTTTATTCTCCCTAGAGTGAAACAGTTTGATATTTTCTCCTCCATTTCTTACTATTTACATATAAATATATATATGTATATTGTTAGTATTATCATTCAGTTTGATTTCATAAGTATTTCTTTGCTAGTGTAGCTTAATTAAATTATCATAACTAATTAAAATCACCTGAACTTCGGTTAACAGACACTCTACTTTAGCAGACCCTCGCAGAAATGGGCAGTTCTTTATGCATGATAAACTAGATACTTGAAATTAGAGCCCATTTAGTTGCTAATAATGGACAAAAGTTTTATTCTGTAAGAGTTTCCTTTACCTTATTAGGATTGTTTAAAGTGTAAAAACACTATCTTTTACATATTTTCCTGCCAAGCATTTTAAAAAAACAAAACATTTTGCCATACAGTGTGATTTATTGCCAATAATATAAAAGCATGACATCACAAGGATCTCATAAGAACTTTGTTTTGGCTTTATGTAATGACGATCAACAGCAAGTCTGTTTAGTTTTTATAAAGGATCTAAGCTAACTGCTATTTCTCTTTTGTATTTGAAGGGGGGATAAAAATTAAAATTTTGGACTTGCCTGTTATAAAACAGCATGTAGTGGAATATTTTCAAAATTATGGGAATGGTTATATTTTAGTTATGGGGCTAATATGCATATTTAAAACAGTAAAAGATTCTAGGGTTTGGCAATTTTGGCACAATTGTATGACACTACTTAGAATTTTGTTCAAGTAATTTATGTTGCACTTAGTTCAAAAAGAAAATGACCACTATTTTAAATGCCCGTAGGGAATTCTGCCCATAAGAGTGATTAGCATAAATTTTAATAAAGTTGTTTGTCACATAATTTCAAAGCTAAGTTTATTTAACTCTTTTCTATTGTTAAGTATCAGTCAAAAGTTAAGTCATTAAAAAGCCATCTCTTAATAACTAACTAAAAAGAGAATGACCTTTTCCTTCAGATTTCCATAAGATGTTTCTTTAAGTTTGTTCCTTGTTCTAGTAGTTGATGTTTTGTAAAAATGATACTTGCAAGTCTGACAGGATATCCACCAATTTTTGTGGTTGGCAGGAAAAAAGAATAGAAAATAAGGGACGGAAAAGATTCTTCTAAGCAGGTTTTCTTTAGTGATTAGTGTTTCTTCAATGATTCTTCTTATGCTTGCTTTTAATGCAATTACAGTTATTAAAAATTAAATGTTAGAAGGAATATTATATATATATTCTGATGTCGCATTATTAAATGGTCACTAATTTGTGTGATTGTTAATGAAGGCAGTTCCCCCACCAGTATGTAAGGATTCAAATCCCTAGTAAGACACTGACATTTAGAACTCTGGGTTCTGTCTGGGTTCTTCAAAAGGTTTCCGAAATGCATCTCATTAAAAAATATATCCATTTTAAAAGTTTTGTTGAGACTGGTAATGGGGAAAGAAGAGTACAAGATTTTTACTGATCATTCTGTGGAGTACCTCAGTCAAAATTGGATTAACATTTTGCAGAAAGCATATTGCCAGTGGTGGTGCTTAAGTCCTTGCCCAATAAATGAATGCCTCTGTTTACCCACTCATAATTCTTCATGGACTGCTGGGATACAGGTAACAGTATTAAAGACTATTAATTTCCTAAAAGTGAATATTTTATCACCAAAGCAACTTAAAAAATGAAAAATATGATCTTGTAAAAATCACTTTAACTCTGAAACTAAACGAATACATTTCTTTTACCATTACAAATACCTTTTACTATTCACATGAAAAATATAATCTTGATGTTAAAATATATGCATTTTCCCCCTCCCCTTCCCAGATTTAATTAAGCTTTAACAATCCTAAGTTAATTTGTAGCATTTCTTTTTCTTTATATCTATCTCTGCGTAGAAATTATATTTCAAAATAAGCAAATGTATAAAATTTAAGTCATTTTTTAGGAAATAATTCTAAATAATTACATAAAAATGCCATTTCTTCAAACAATTACTCTTGTTACTTATATAAAATTAAAGTTAAGATTTGTTGTGAATATAAGGCTTTGAAAAATATGTCTTTAAGTTTTACTTCTCAGATATTTATTTTAGATATATAATTGGATTACAGCACTTTTTTAATTCAAATGTGAAATTTCATAAAAAAGTTGAGAAGAGTTCTGGAAAAATAAAAACCAGTGTTTTACTTAGTTCTTGTCTTAGTACTGTGAAATAAAAATTTCATTTAGAAAATTATTAATTATCCTTTATTAATTAAAAATATTTTAGTAGAGCTTAGTATAAGATTAGTAATGAATATTGCTTTAAGTCAGAACCATTAATTGAAATAGCTTCTGCTTCTTATCTTCTATCTAAACTTGTTCAAAATAGTCTTCAGTTAAAGATTTTGTGAGCATGAGAAAATAGCATTATGTCAGTAAATTTATTCTTCGTTATCTCGGCTAATTTTGTATTTCAAGATTACAGAACGTTTTGCTTTAAAAAATATGAGCATTTTTTTTTTTTTTACCTTTGAAATGGGAGCATACAATGGTTAGTGAGAAATTTTGCACTAGATATTTATAGTAGCCTTCCTTATTGTGTGAAAAAATCTTTTTTGTTCTTAAATACACCACTTTGCAGATCTGTCTAATCTTTCTGAAATTTCTGTCTTTTGTAGGGTCTTGAGAAGGTATATTTGGAAAGGAAAATGGTCCGTGAAAGTCCCCAAAAAACTAAAGAAATTATACAACTGTTACAAAATGTGAAATATCTAAATATACCATTTGGATGTGAAGATGAAACTGTACAAATTATTTCCAAATGTTGTTTAAATCTTAAAGAATTGCATGTTGGGTATGTGGGCATTGCTAGCGATGAGAGAGAGAGATGCCTCTGTGGTGCTAGATTTGGGTCTCCAGGTCCTCGTTGTCTTTGGGTGTTGCGTATAAGTCGTTCAGAGATTAAAACAGACACTGTTGCATGCATTCTAAAAAACATATCGTCTCTGGAAATTTTTAATTACTTGTATTTGTCACGGGTGTTGCTAGCTATGCATTATTATGATATTGTTGATAATAAATTGGCCACGGTTAAAAAGTATTCTTTAACAGAACTTGATTTCAGGAGTTCAACTCCATATGAAATTGATTTACTTCTAGCTATATGCACTGTTCTCTGCCCAAACGTTAAAAGGTTGTCTGTTGGAGTAGCTTGGCAAGAACATGTACATTTATGTCTTCAGTTTTCTAAACTAGAGAGTTTAACTATGCATACATTCTCTAATCGGGATCGAATAATTCTAGATGACTTTTTAAAACTAAAAGGAAATGATTTAATTTCATTGGATATCAGAGGACACTTTTCAGTTTCTATTCCAGTTTTAATAGAGAATTGTCAAAAATTAGAAAAACTGCATATGAAAATTGTTGACCATCGATGCGTGTTCGAAGAGTGCATGCCAACTTTAAAGGATATGAAATGTGTTACTGTACAAGGTACAAAAATCTTGCCTTCCAACTTTAAAGCATTTGAAAGAGTTGATTGTTTACACTTTTGAGGCTGCTACGCCATTAACTACAGAAGCTGTTTGTTTGATTTTGAATTCCAGCCCAAACATAGAATATATGTGCATATTATATGGTATAATCTCTGATTCTCAGCTAAAGAAAACACTTTTGGATTATTGCGAATTAAATACTTTAAAATATTTGTATTTAGGTTTTTCAGGTATAGATGTAAGCTTCTTACAGGTAATTCTTAAATCGTGCACATCTCTTCAGAAATTAAATGTCCGTTTTTGTAAAAATATATATGAAGAAGAATTTGAGATTTTACTCCAAACTGCATCTACTACCAAAAATAAACCTCAAATCATTTGGTATGATTTTGAAAGCTTTATTGATGAATGTGATATATATTCAACTGAAGATAATTTTGGTGAAGACCTTTGAGGTTTATTTCTGTTATATTTTATAAATTCAGAGTACATATTTTATTTTCCTTATAAAAATATTTTATACTTGTAAGTTTTTAATGTAATAATTTTCTTTATATATATGTATATATATATATTATTTAAATTAAATTGTTATCTTTTTATTATACTTGTTTATAAATTAGAAAACCCCTTATGATTAATGCAGAAGAAATGTGCAAATGATTAAATTATGTGTATAGTAAGAGCTAAGTTTTGTAACCATTATTGTCAGAATTATGTTTTTGAATTCTTTTATCTTTTTTAATTATTTACTAAAAGCAGGTATTAAATATTTTTTTTTAAATTTCTATTTATTCATATCCCAGCAGCCTATGAATCAAGAATGTAATGATGATGTCTAATATTTATTGTGTTGTATTAGTGTGTAAAGGCATTGGGCATTCAGCTTGAATTGATGACATTATGAAATAAATTTATAGATTTATTTCACATGTCAATGATTTCTTAATGTTAGTGAACAGTGATTATAGTTCTTCATATCATGTGAATCAAGAACATGTAAAGACAATATGTAATATTGTATTTTAAAATATTAATATGTAAACACATTGGGCTTTATGCTTGCATTGATGATGACATTAATTTTTGCACATTGATGATATTATGAAATAAATTTAATGTCAATGAATCGAGAATATATCCATGTAAAGCCATTGTGTAATATTGTATTGTATTTCATAGTAGCCATGTAAAAACAGTACCTTGATTGGATTGATGACATTATTTCAATGAAACGATTCCAGCTGTTCGCATACCAGTAGCACATGAATCAAAGATGTATTCTCTGTAAAGATATTTGTCTTAAATGTATTGTACTGTAAAGTATTGGGTATCTTACTTGAATGGATGGCAAAGTAATTTTTGCACTATGCTATCTTAGATTAAATGGGAATACCCTAAAAACTGGTGTTTGAGAAGTTTGTATTCCTCTTTGCTTTTGATTGGTTTCTCAAGAGGACTTTTCTGTGTGGTGCTTTTTACATGACTTTGCTGCTTGTATGTATAACAATTGCAACTTTTCATGTTTGATATGAAAGTATACTGTCAGATCTATTTTGACTTACAGTAGACACTACTTAATGTGATCATTTGGACGTTTTTATCAAATTGACAAAGTCCCACCCTTTTGTATACAAAAACATGGAACATATATCGTTCACTATGCTGAACAATTTGATTAATATCATAAAAATGTTATAGAATAAATTTTTCAAACTTAACAAATAAAAGATAACGTCACCAAATAAGTTAAAATGACGGTATTTATGTATTAACATAACCATCTTGGCACGATGGCAATTTTTTACAGACGAAATATTTAACGGATGCTAGTTGGCAACATTCATGACTTTTTTTAAAAAACATTCCCAAACTATCGAAATTTATTGCAAGTTGGCAAGCAATATCAACATATCAAAACACAGTTTAAAATATCTTTAATTATTAAATAACAATTATGAGATACATTTAAAAAAATGAAATGCTTACATTTTTCACAAAATCCTTTTCTAATTTTTTAGCACTGTTTGTATTTTATAGAATGATTTGTTTTTCTTAAAAATCATCAGAAAATTGCACCGACTCATCACTGCACACCAGCTATTTACAAAATTCATCTCATTATTGTTACCTTTAGCAATTTTCTAGCAAAATACTGTATTCCTGCAGATATTTTATATTTATTTCATTTTTGACAAAATCCACAAGCTGTATTTCAGAACTGAGTTGAAGGCAAAAAAAATATGACTATTTGTCTATAAAAACTATTGGAACTTGGAATACAATAAAACAAATGCACATGAAAATGACAGTGTTACTTGACTGAATGATTGTTATAAGCAGAGGTACCAGAGTTTGGCACATTCTGATAAACTGGTGACTAAGTTCTTTGAGATAATACATAAGTACCAAAAACATACTGTAAAAATTGCCAAGATACAGTTAAATATTTCCAAGTTCTAGACATCTTAGTTTTGAATTTACCTAACCTTTTAAAAGTAAGCAAGAAAACAACTTTAGTTTGACAAAAATTTTGACTAACTTTATCAATTTTGAGGGGAGTCAGATTGGGTTCCTCTTCTTCAGTAGAGAAAAAAAAATAGTGTCAGAATTCTTTTTTTTTTCTCTGGGGAGGGAAGGTCTTTGAAAACATCTACATGAAACTAAGGTTGCATTTTGCATTATTTTAAATTTTACATTATCAAGTTCTCTTCCGATTATGACATTATGAACAGTTCATAACCAAATTTTTGCATTTTCCTAATTAATGCTGTGAAAGTGTGAGTTATGTGTTTCTAGTTATATTAAATTATTATAATTCCATTACTATTTTTTCCCATCATTTAATGTTATCAAAAGAGCTGTGTACAAACATGGTCACACTAGGCACTGTCTACCGTAGCAATAGCTTCAGTAAAATCATTAATCTACACAAATGCATTTTGTATTGGGTTCAGTTTACAATTACTATTGAATGCAGTGTAATTTATAGTGCAGTACTTATCTGTGAGTTGATGAATTTTTTATTGCAAATGAATACTTTTTCTGTTATTTATTTTTTAAGTTTCCCTGTTGTTTAATTAATATGTAGTTTAGTCATTGCTTTTGAAATATGTGTTTTAAATAAAGAATCTGTGTTTTCATTATTATTATGTGTGTTAACTTTGCTTTACTTACATTTACATTATTATTTAGATTTTCAATATATTGCATGATTATGATTTGTTACCAAGAAAAAACTACATACTAATAACAACAAACAGAAACCCAAAACATGACCCTCAAATTTCAAAAGCATTACCACCACTACCATGACAGATGGCAGCATTATATAGTGATGTTATATATTATATAGTGATGCAGCATTATATAGTGATGTACACCTAACCATTAGTGGGTTGCCAGATAAATACATTTTCATAAAATACTAGGCTGCCTATTTTGACTATGTATTGCTCTGCCCGATGATTCTTATCAGGATTTGAGTGGATAATGGGATAGTCCTGCGGATTAGTGCTGCTTAGCCCATCCTCATGTAGAGTCTATGTGGCTGTTCTCTAGATCGATTTCCCTAGATGCAGTTGGGGCCACTATAATCAACATTATCTCCTCCTTTCCAGAATATGAAACTGTGTTTCCTGAACCTATGAGTTGTTGTCATGGTCATGTATGTTTATGACAAATAAAGAACTTTCCTTTTTCTTGTGCAAAGAAACTAAAGTCATTTTGTTATATTACACTCGGGATATTCATGCATGCTTGCTCCAAAATTAGACAAGTTAACTTAATGTAGAAATGAAGAAAGTGGTTTAAGCAGGATGAACAGATATGTCCATAATTCTTGAAAGCTTAACTTTAATCTCACAGCCAAAATACAACAACCAAGTATGAACTTGAATGGATCATGGACACATGAAAGTGAATTCTATTTGATAATAAATAAGAAAACATGATTTCCAGTATGATATATAGCTTTGATTTTGATGTAATTTGACATGAAAGTGAAGCTGATGTCTATGCATTAGGTAGAAACAGCGGTCTATCCACCAAAAATAAATATTTTGAATAGCAGAATCAATTATCCAACCAGATAAATTCTGCTCCATTTTTAAAGATCATAGAAATTAGTCATAAATTTATTTAAAAAATACTTATTCTAGAAAAACTAATTAATTATGTGTTGTTCAAAAAAAACTCATAATTTTCAGAATATATACCTTAAATATTAAATCTGTCACATAAGAATTATTATTTTGTTAATCAAAGTCACATATTAATAAATTCAGCATTATGACAATATGCCATCAGAGAATAAGAACCACTGATAAACTGCTTTAACCACTGTATAGTGCAATGGCACTTACATATATGGAGCCTCACAATGCATATGATATAAAGTTAATTATCATTATAGTATTCTTCTGTGTGTGTTCTGATGCAGAATATATGTGTATATACAAGATGACTTCTAGAATACTTAAAAAAATCTCTGTGGCAAACAGATATTTTCATAGCCTGATGAGATAGCTTCTAGAATACTTAAAAAAATCTCTGCTGCAAATAGATATTTTCATAGCCTGCCTGAAGAGCTATTTCAAATCTACCTTTCTCAAGTTAAAAAGTAAACTAGTACTTTATAACATCTGTTCTGACTGATGTGTCGGAAGCTTGGGCATTGACTTTACGTGATGAGGAAGCTTTAGGGATTTTTGAGAGAAGGATATTGCATTGCATACTTGGTGGAGCCCATGTGAATAGAATGGAGAAGATCTAATTTAGAGTTATACAAGATCTATAGACAACCTAATGTAAAATTCTCCAAACTCCTACTACTAATACTGGGCTGGTCATCTGGCCAGAATGCATGAACATCGGTGTTGTAAAAATATCTTTCTGGAAAAGTCCAGTGGAATCACACCTCGGGATGACCCCTGGTGAGATGGATCGATTGTGCTGAAAATGACGTAATCATTCTAAAGGTCAAAAACTGGGAAACATTTGCAAAAGCAGAGATGCCTGGAGAAGGCTAGGGCTCACCTTGGGCTATCGAGCCAATGAAGAAGAAGACAATATGTGTATATATACACAGAATATTTCAAGATTTGTATATTCTGTATTTAATTGTAAATTTGTTTAAGGTAAATAGCTCTGGTTACTTTCCTTGTCTTCACAAAAAGCCATTTAGTTTCTAAAGAAACAAATATTGCTGATTCTAGATGAAGACTTTTGAATACTATTCTCTGTTTCCTTGACAGAGAATACTATAATTTTTAATTTTGATTTATTTGTTGAAATCCACAGCAATTTATTTATATAATAGCCAAAAGAGACATTAAAGCACTCACCTAACACCCTTACCCTTAACAATAAGATTTTCTTGGTCAACCAATCAGTGGGCTTCACTAGAATTCCTTTCTCACCATTCCTATCTATGTATACATTTTTAACACTCCCTTCCACCTATTTTAATGGCAAACATAAGAATCCCTTAAGAGTCCTCAATGAAAATCCTTTTTGATTAAAAGCTTCATAGTAGCAGTTATAAAATTTAAACTGTACGTTAGGGTTAAAATTATATATTTTTTTACCTATATTTTTGTATCTGCATTTTTTATATGCATTGATACTTCTAAATTCCCCATTAGCTTTTATGTCAATCTTTTTGTGAATGCGTCCTTTTTTTTTTTTTTTTTTTTTTTTTTTTTTTTTTTTATAACATTGGGGATTTTTGATAACCTTCATGTTCTGAAATTATTAATCATTCATTTAAATACCAATTTTATATATGAGTTTTTCATGATTAAAAGAATTGTTTCACACATTCGAGGGAGATGAAATGCAATCGTACCCAAATTATTGTGGAATTGGGGAGAAAGGGGTGATTCTTCTTGATAAATCAGCCCTCTTCCGACAAATCAGCAATAATTTTCTTACTTTTTTTATGTCTTAAGTTACGTATATACTGTTCTACCTTACTTTCATGCAGGTACTATTTTTTTCTTTTTTGAAATGCATGATTCAAATGAGTTCTATTACACATTTCAAACTTCTTTGAAGTCTATTACAAGTTTTTAACAGTTTTAAGTATTTATATTTCCTAATTTCAATTAGCAATACTTTTACATTTCCTTTCCTAGGAGATAATCATAAACAGAAAATTAATAATTAAATAATAATTGTGCCAAAAATTATAATTTTAACCACTAAGCAAGTTGTGATTTTCCCTCCAGTCATCATCTACACAGCAGTTTTCACTAATGACTAAAAAATGATTGGTTTCATCTTCTCTAGTAGATAGTTCATATTAAGATATAAAAATATGATGGAAATTTATGAACAAATTAAACTTAATCGGAAATAGTCCATTAAAGTCCTAATTTTAATCCTAATACAACCCCCTTCACAGCATCTATACTACCTCACTAACATCATTCTTTCCCTGCAGTTTCTCTGCATAACTGTAAACTTTTGCTGAACTGCTCTTCAGAACAACCGAAATTATAAATTATTCCAATTGCTTAATATGCTTCCCTTTTCTGCCTGCTGCTACAAGAATAAGCTGTCTCTCAATTGACTGTATTTTTCTACTATTTAAAATGAATGCTGAATACACAAAATTGTGAGACCTGCTTAGCACCCCTACTGTTGCACAAATTAAGCAAAAATGTATTTCTGAAGAACTGTTCCTGTTCAAAATAAAAATTATATTTTAACCACTAAGTAAGTTGTGATTTTCCTTCCAGTCATCATCTACACAGCAGTTTTCACTAATGACTAAAAAATTATTGGTTTCATCTTCTCTAGCCGACTTTCTAATAATTTATATCAATACATCAACAAAAATGGCGCACATACACACACACATATATATATATACTAGTACTGGGGTACTAACATATATATATGTACAGTACAAAGTCCGTAATCCGGACTCGTCGGGACTTCGGCGATTCCGGATTAAGGGTTTTTCCAGATTATAGATCATCAATTTAAATCTGGTAAGATGGCATGCAGAAATTATACTTTTAAAAATATGAAACCGTAATTTATGAAATAAAGAGCAATTATGATCTAAAGGGTATCAAATTTTACAAAAAAAAAGCTTATTATTTATTTTACTTTATTAAACATTTCTTTCAATGCACGCATGCGTAAGGTTTATGGCTTTGAGGTCCGGATTATAGATCATTCTGGATAATGGACGTTCGGATTACAGTCTTTGTACTGTATATGCATACACATATTGTGCATATGTGATTTATCTGTAGATAGTTTGATGCTAGAAGACAGCTTCAGTCGCACATCATTTACGAGTACGATAAGCAACCCCAGCAAAGGGAAATGCACTAACAGGCCAAAAGAGACTAGAAAAAGTAAGTGCATATTCAGCAGCTATAGAGTTGGTCTCTGTTTAAATTTTGAACTGTCTAGATAAGCTGTCGCACTGCAGATGATACAATGCAGATTAATTTTCAAATGATGCAATTAGTTTTAAAACAGAAAATGGATATAACCAAATTCGAATGAGGAATTAAAAAAGACTACTACTAAATTACACTTCATGATTTTCTTTCATATTTTATATCTTATATATGTATGAATATGCTGACTTTTATATGTCCATATCAGTACAACAGTTTCCAGTCTTCTTTTGGAGTACTAATATAATTACTTGCTAGAAACATGGGCAAATTAATGATAACTTTTATAAAAATATATCAAAAGTTTGTAGAAAGTGTTCCCAGATGAGTGTAGACTATAACTCATACAAATAGTGGACTGAAATCCTATTAAAATATGCCAAATGAATCTATGATCCCACAACAATGGATGGCTAGATACTTTTAGCCATACAGTGCAATAGTCTTAAACTGCCGGCTCCCGAAACAGCTTTATGAGGCCTATGAATACATTTCAATTATGCATTTGTTGCAAAGGTTTTAAGAGATTGAGTTTAGACTATTTTCATTACCATTAAAACCTGACACGAATATTGAATCACAAAATCTATAAAGTGAACTAATTAATTTACAATATGATATAAATCTTATTCAAAGATTGTAAGATATAGCTTTAATATTTTTTTTTTTTTTCCCACACTTGTCAAAAAAATATGTATGCTCAGTTTGCACTGAGCATGATAACTTTG